CATTTGTCCCAACTTGTTCTTCTGTATCGTATGTCGTGCTATTTTTTTATAAGTACTGTTATTTATAAAATTACGATCCGTATAACAAACAATAAAAACTGCGCACTCCAGGAGGAGAAGACACCATGGGCGTGCTCCGCTAGCGCGCGCGCAAGCAGGTTGCTGCTGTTCCTGGCATCGATCTTCTCGCGCTGCGCGCAAGCCGCAGGTGTCGACCGGGCGAAAGTGCGGCGGCACAAATGCACCCCGTGTGACGGCGCTAGCAGCGCGTAACGGGCTTCTGGCCACTGGCGAAACGCGGAAGCCCCAGACACGCCGTGCGAGAGTCGGGCACATCTATAGGACCCGCACCCTCGCACCCCGGCGCATTTTCCTTAGTTGTCAGGGGCCTTCAGGTGGAGCAGCCTGTGTCAATGGCTACGCGTTCCGGCGTTCGGGTTTCATTCTGTGTTGACAAGTTCAAGGTACGCCTTTGACCATGGAGTTAGACACGGGTGCCACTGTGCCCGTAATACTACAGCGAGAGTTCCAGAAGCTTCGACCGGCTTTAAAACTTGGACCAATGAAACTGCGTCTGAAGACACACACCGGGAAAATCGTGCAACCCTGTGGTGTTGTCTATGCATCCGTGTGGTACACGGACCAAGTGCGCGTCCTTCCCCTCTACGTCGTTGACCACAGCGGGCCACCCCTCCTCGGTCGCGAACGACTAGCTAACCTTCGCTTAGATTGGCACCACATCTGCGCTGTGCGAAAGCTGTCTATTGGGTCTCAGCTTGAGGCAAGCCACGAGAAACACGAGGCGCAGGACGAGGTCTACAAGTGAGTTCGCCACTCCTGTTGTCCCGGTTGTTAAAAACGACGGCACTACACGTGTGTGCGTAGACTACAAAACAACCCTCAATCCTGTCTTAGGCACTGAGCAGTGCCGGCTGCCCAAGCTTGACGAGATATATACTAGCTGCGCTTACCGACGGCAAACACCTTTCTAAGCCTGATTTCAACAGGGCCTACTATCATCTAGATATGTCGGAGAACTCTAAAAAGTTACGTTAAATACGCACAAAGGATTGTTTGCTGTGAAGAGACTTCCCTTTGGAGTAGATTCTGCAGCTGCGTTGTTCCAACACATTATGAAGCACATGTTGAAAGAACTACCAGGAGTCATATGCTATTTAGACGATATCCTGGTCACAGACGCTACTGCTGAAGAACATTACAGGAACCTCGAAGCCGTGTTTCAGACACTCGCACTCAGAGGTGTCCGCGTTAAGGGCGAAAAGTGCGAGTTCTTCAAGGAAAGCATACAGTTTTTGAGACGCATTATTAGCGAGGCAGGAGTGCAGCCTTCAGATGAGAAAAGTACAAGCTCTCCTGAATGTCCCAGCTCCAATCCATATCGCACAGCGGCGTTCGCTGCTTGGTCTCATTAACTATTACGGGAAGTTCACGCCACGTCTAGCGACACTTGCCAAGCCTTCATACAGCCTCTTAGAGAAAGACAGCTCCTGGAGCTGGGATCGCAAATGTCAAGACTCCTTCCAAGCCATCAAGGCAGTGTTGTCGTCAGTGGAGGTGCTGGTGCACTATGAGCCGGCACGGCCACTTCAGCTCTCGTGCGATACGTCGGCTTATGGCCTCGGTGTAGTGCTGTTACGCGTTATGGAGGATGGTGCGGTGAGACCAATCGCTTACGCTTCCAGAACATTGTCGAAAGCAGATAAATTTAGCCAGATTGAAAGAGAGACGCTAGCCTTAATTTTTGTCGTAAGAAATTCACTCGATCCTACATCTATGGTCGGGAATTTACTTATATCACAGACCATAGGCCATTACAGACAATTCTTGAGCCGCAAAGCGGCATCCAGGCTATAGTCGCAGCAAGAATTCAACGAGGGGCTATAACGCTCTCAGCTTACAAGTACCAACTGCTATTAAGAACCTCACCGGAAAACGTTGACGCGGACTGTTTCTCGCGACTTCCGTTCGAGACTGCAGATGAGGGCGACAGCTCAACCGAGACGTTCTACACGCTACGAGCTATCCCCAGCAAGGAGGTAGCACGTCACACAAAGCGTAATCCGGTTTTCAGTCTTGTGCTTTCAAGAAAAAATGGTGAATCGTTACACCCTTTGTCCCATATAATACACCCCAAGACTTAATTTCGACGTACTGAGCCCTATAGTCGAACAGTAGGACCCCAAATTTTACGAGGGGCTTGATAACGGTGCGATATAACTTATTGAATAGCTAAAGTATGTATCAAAGATCACATAAAGAAAACACCGAGTTTCTGCAATAGGGCCAAGAAAACCACGATTATTATTATTATTTTTTTTTGTAGTCGGTAAAACGTACATTAGCTATTTTAATAAGTTGTACCACCACGGCTATCAAGCCCCTCATAAACTTTCGGGCCGTCTGTTCAACTGTGGGGCGCTGTACGTCGCATTGAAGTTTTGGGGTGTATTATATGGGACAAAGGGTGTAACGATACACCCTTTTTTCTTGAGAGTGTGTGGTGGACTTCACTAAGAAAAGTTGGCCTTCGCACCTCGACGACCAACGGCTTAAACATTCTTTTAGCAGGTGCACGGTTCACGAGCGATGCCTGATGTACAGCATGCAAGTGATCGTGCCACCAAAAATTCCAAGAGCTGATCCTGGAGGAGCTGCGCCAGGGACACCCGGGAATTGTGCGGAGCAAAAAACTCGCCCGAAGATACGTGCGGTGGCCCTCTGTGGAAAAAGACCTTGAAAACCTAGTGAGACTCTGCATGGCATGCCAGCAGCAGCGCGGCATGTCACAAAAGGCGCCAGTGCGCCTTTGGTCGTGGCCCACGCGACCCTGGTCCCGGGTACATGTCGACTTTGCGGACCCTTTTCGTGATCGTATGCAACTAGTTGTCGAAGACGCTCATTCCAAATGGCCTGAAGCGTACGTTATGACCTTTGTGTCCGCAGAGGCATCGATAGCAAGACTCCGCGAATTGTTCGTTTTGTACGGTGCGCCAGAGGTGCTAGTCACTGATAACGGCGTACAGTTTACATCCTTCGAGTTTAAAACGTTTTTGACGTTTTAAAGCCAAGCAGGAATGGCCTCGCGGAGAGTTTCAGTCAGACGCTAGAAAATGCACCCAGGAAAGACCCGGCAACCGAAATTATTGAAAACACTTTATCATAATTCGTTGTGGCGTACCGCAACGCGGTATGCCATAAAGGGGGTACGCGGTACTCCATATTGCTTGGGGTACGCAATAACACAAGAAACCCCAGCTTTCCTTTTCCTTGGTCGTCAGCCAAGCACTCGCTTGGACGCAATCGAACCAGCACTTGATCGTACAGTCGGAGCATGTTAGTTCGCGCAAGCATCGAGGCGGAATGGTGTCAGCAATGTGTTTCAAGTGAACGATAAAGTGCTTGTGAGCAATTTCAAGTGCAGACCGAGATGGCGGCACGCTACAATCCTTCAGCGAACGGGTCCAGTATCCTACGAGGTCAAGGTGCGGGCACCACATGGGCCCTGTACTTGGAGACGACACGGGGACCACCTGCGGCCTGCACACACTCCAGTGACTGTGTCAGCATTCGTGAGGGAGGAACAGGTCGACACCATCTATAAAGCATCGGCAGGCGATGCACCAACTTCCCTGGCCGACTCCGCAAGCCCACCTGCGCCTGTCACCACCAGCGATGCCTTGACGGGGTGTTATCCTCCCCGGGAAAGAGGACCGCCTGACCGCTATCAAGCTCCATGAGGTTTCGATTTCCGGTAGAAGAAGTGCTAGAGGCCACCGCTATTCCACTATCGGCACCGAGAGAATTACATCACCAGTGGGCTATAAAATTACCACATCGCCATGCGCGTTAAAAAAAAAAAAAAGAACATTCTGTATGTCGCTGAATAAAGTACTTTGAAGCATCCTACCGCTTCATGCTTGTATCTATCTACCCCCGAACATCGCAGAAAGTACATTGTATTTACAGTGCTTTACTTCAAGCACATTGTGCCCACTGCCCTACCAAAGAAAAAAAAAACAGTATAACTTCTCGCTAACTGGATTACGGAACAAAAAATCCAACTGGTTCTCTTGTTGGAAATCTGAAATGCAGCTTGCAGACCTGCAAACTGGATTTTAGGTTTACAGCAAGAAATCCAGTTAGATTGCCTGTTCCATAATCCAGTTAGCGAGAAGTTATGCTGTTTTGTTTCGGTAAGGTGGACTAACAATTTTACTGGAAGCACATAAGCTCTCATTTACTTTGTACTTTACTATAAGCACTACACCGGGTGAGGGTACTGCGCACGCGCAGTAAACTCACCCGGTACTGGCAAACGCGGACTTTTTGTAAACAGCGCGGTGGTCTATTGAAGAAAAATAATTTGGGAATTTTACGTGCCAAGCCAACAAAGGGCACCTGGCGCGCCCCAGCGGAAAACTGGGCATTATTTGCTATTCCTTGAGGGATCTTTCGTCATACAACCGAAATCTCGGTTACACGGGCAATTTTTCAGCACCAAGCCTCCTCCAGATTTTGAGCACTTCGGTCGGGATTTCAACCCGCCACCTGGGGATCCGTAGGCATGCGCCTTTCTTCCTCTGTCGTCTTCTGTAGAGTTACTGACGGTTGTTGAAACGGGAGGCGTCGCCTTTATGTGTTCGCGATTCGTTTTCAGGTGTTTCAAATTATGCAATCTCATTAGCTGCGAAGGTATGTTGATATGCTCGGACACTCTCCACGCCTTAAGCTTTCAGTGACTATGCGGGTAGAAACTGAGGAAGGAGGTGGAGACGAGAGGGACTTCAGAGCGCCGATCACTGTTCGTATATTGTAGATCTGTTCCACAAAAGTTGTTCGATACTTTCTTTGTTGTCGAATGCGTCCTTTTTAAATGCTGGAAACGCAGCTTTTACGGGCCTGCACTCGTTTCACAATCGCACCGCAGTTTTCACGTATCGCGAACTCGGCAAAGACAACTAAAACATGCCGCACTTTACCTTCGTATCCAGAGGTGAAGGCCATTATCGAAGTTCCTGGAAGGGAAGTGGATATGACTTAGTACATTAGATGGTCGTTCGCAGCATAGCTGATTTAACGCAGTAATGAAACATGCAACTGTATTCTACGCCTTAATGGTATGTTGAAATAAATGGTATATTTCCTAATTTGTGCGAACAATCCGTGACTGGTGAATACTGAGCGAATGAACAACGACAACAAATACATTTATATATAGTCTTAGATAAGATAAATACTCTTCCATGTATACACACACCGCTTGCATGCCGTTTCTTGAAAAAAAAGAACTCTAGAAAAGTTTACCTTCAACATGACCTGCCTGGAACTGGGCCTGCAGGCTAAAACCCGGACATAACCAACATAACCAGCGTATACACATGCAGTGCCCTATGGCCATTCACCTCATAATCGCCCATGACTAAGGGACCGCGTTGGTCCGGAAACGTAGGGAATTTTGTTCAATACAGACCTCCAGAAGTGTGAGCACAGGTGTTCCCGAGCGACGCATGTTGGCGGCGGCGGTAACCGAACCCTGTCCAGCCTCGCCAGGGCGCCGGGAGCACCGTAGAAAACCAGGTACTTGACGTAGAACATAAAGTTCAGGCAAACGCCGTAGCCCACAAGACTGGATAGATCCATTGAGGACACATGTCTGGGCATCCAGATCAGTGCTGAACTGCACGTTTAAAAGGAGTGGAGAAGCTTTCCATCAGTAACCGCGTTTCCATTTCCTTGCAATGTAGCGTTTATACTTAGTTCGCTGTGTCTAAAGGTACGTCGGACGTATCCGGATCCCAGAGTCTAAAGATACGTCGGACGGATCCGGAACTCGGAGTCTAAAGATACGTCGGACGTATCCGGGTCCTAGGGTCTAAAGATACGTCTGACTATGGTTAGTCTGACGTAGCCGGCGAATGCCACCGGTCCGTCGGACGCACCCGCTGATGTATTTCGAGCTGTCCAAAAGCGCTCCGCGATCGCGAGTCGCGCTTTCTCGCACGCTCGCACTTGAATTTACATGATGATGATAGCTTTATTTTCAAACGAAGACGACAATGGTTTCCGTTGCTTTGTTTTGCATTTACAACTTTAGGACTAGGTTAAAAAAAGGAAAAGTTTCGATCAGTTCCGATCACTGATGCTTGTTACAAATCAATCCATTCCAATCCAGTTTGAGTAACCGCAAGCCATCATCATCATCCAATCCACGTCCAATCCCATCCGTCCACGCGGTCCAAGCTACACACGCTACACACGTGAGTTTCGTACGTAGTGTGTCGCAACACGTGTGGCGCCTGTCAGGAAAATGAAAGTTCGGGACAAGTTTGCCACGTTTAGTGAACTAGATGCTGCTGTAAAACAACACAGCGAAGAGAAGCTGGTACAGTTTTACGTACGCGATTGTCGATCTATCACAGCAGCAAAAACTAAGGTGGAGCGCTTCCTGACTGAACGGCTTGAAAAGTATGAAGTGCGCTACTGCTGTACCAAAGGTGGCAAGTGCTTCAAGAGCCGTAGCAAGGGGGAAAGGTATACCAGGTAAGACCAGCGCTGGTCTTTGTTTCTTTTTTTTTTTTTCTGTGCTGCCGACCCATCGATGCAGTTCCCACTTTACATCATGGAATTCGATTCGATTGTCTCTGGAGTGACCTTGGACCAGACTTGGACGTAGTTGAACTACTCTACTCAAACTACTGTAGTTTAACTACTTTTCCGAGTAACTTGGTAACTTTCAATTACAACTTTATTTGGGTAATTAGTAGTTTAACTTAACTACATTTTTCAGGTAACTTCTCAAATTACTAACTACTTTCGAAATTTAATCCTACTTTTTTTTTCATCACAAAAGTTTGAGTGCATAAATAAATAAGACGCTGGCAGGTTAAGTGGTATTTACGAACAAGGGGCCCCCTCACATTCCGTTCCCACGCACTTACAGTCGGCAGCCCTAGAAACTGCATCACAGGCGTCCTTGGGCCAAGGTGGCGACGAACCGCCAAAACATAACACCTGCGCGCACGAACGTAGACAGAGATGCTTAACAAGCCTTGGTCGGGTGTTGACCTAATCTGGTAATGCACGCCAGCACCGCGCCTCCAACTGCAACCGTGAAAGACGGGGACACTCCGAGGGTTGTTGTTTTCATGTTGTGTGCCTTTAGTGAGTTCTGACTCAAGTGGTAGGATCCACGGTAGGTGCCAATGGAATGACCTCGCAGCTGGGCGCCTGTTCCCATGGTTGCTTCGTCGTCAGCGCATACTCCCTTGCAAAGCCGGACTCCCCCGCGCAAAAACGCCGACACGGATAATCCGTTCATGGGAGCACGTTCCCGCTTCCAGCTGCAACTGTACGAGCGCCGATGCTTGTTCACGTAATCCTTCGCGTCCTTCTGACCTTCCACGCCAGGGAGACCTCCTCTTTGTTGAAAACGTTTGACTTGCCAGGCGTGTCAGGCGCGTCAGGATACCGTAGTCGCCGGCAATAATTTCGAGTCACCCTTGGGAGATCCTTTTGTTGGACCCAACGTCAACGGCTAAAAGCAATTTTTTTTTTGACGCGCAGTCGTCCGGATGACCTCGTCGTCGTGGCGCGAGATTTGATCCTTTGACGGTCAGGTGCACTCGCTCGGCGAAATCTCCGAACGTCGTGAGAATAAAGAGGGGCCAGTCATAACAATCTCAACTTGCTGAAGAAAAAAGAAAAAGAGAGGAGAGTTTGTTATAAAAGACCCTCTAGCCGAGGCAAGCCTCACATGTTTCGTCATGGACACCGAAGATGCCGACACTCGCGTACCCGACCCTGCACAGCCTGCTTCTGAAATTGAACGCTGTCTTTGCATCCAGCGCCACGGTGGAAGTCTTTTTAGCTTGACCGAGGACGTCATTAGAATGAAAAGAGGAATACTCTCCGATAACAACTTTGAAAGACAATTGCTTCGGCGAGGGAATAAACTATTTTGGAAGTCATAAAATGACTGCATTTATTTCCGGCTCGCAGGGTTTTTCACTGATCAAAACTGTTCATTTTGCTGCCACAAAAAAACATGAAAAGTAACTTCGAAAGTAACTTCAAAGTAATTCGCTACTTTTTTAGAGTAGTTAGTAGTTTACTCAATTACTATTACAAATGCGTAATTTCTACTCTACTCTAACTACTTTTGGCGTCGATACTCAGTAACTTAACTACCTTTTTTGAGTAATTTGTACATGTCTGCCTTGGACACATGGTATCTGATCACTTCCAGCACCTTTCAAATTGGCTGTTCGGCGTTCGTGAAATGCAGGGCCTCTGACGATGGAAACTTCCTGGAGGTGATTGAGATGAACGAGAACCACAACCATAAGATATCTGAGGTATGGAGCTTATTAGCATATTTCAAACTGTGAGATGCAGTGACACTCCTCAGTCTGAATTTTGTGGAACCCGCCAGAGCGTTGTGCATGCGACATAATTTCACTGCACTGCCGTTCATTCATCATCTTTGATTGGTTGCGCCAAATGTCGTTAGCAGAAGCAAACACTGCTCTTGCTGCGACTTGTTCATCTGCATTGGTGCCCGTCCATGAACTTCACAGGAATGATGTTCTAATTTTTCACAGAAGCAAAGCTACACTTCGAGGTTTTGCAAGGTAGCGTGTGCCACTGAAATACACATTTGACAAAAATTTGAGGTACCCACATGCATGCTGATTTTTCCTGCTCAATTTGCATTCTACCACTCCATTTATGCCACCCTGTTTTAGCTTGATGCTGCACTAATGGTATAGTCAACATAGACTCTCAGTCGTAAGGGCAATAAAGTGAGGTCAGAGCGAGCTTGCTTGTGCTAAGAACTTGCATGTTCAACATGCTGATGCCTCTGCTTGCTTTACTTCACTGTGTCAGCATCATAGTATGGAATACAGTTAACCTTGCGTTTACTTATGTGCACCTGTCTGAGGGTTTCATTTGAGGAACATGAAAAGGTACCATACAGTCTGTTTGCGACCAGCACCTGGTTATACCTTTTCACTAGACTGCTGATTGACATGATCTATTGAACGCTGGAATTGCATATGTAGGTACATTTTAGAATGATCCAAATGCTTACTTTATTGCAGGCACTCTGCAGCCACCTGCCACAAACCAGAGCATTACGAGAACCAGGGTCCAGAGAGGAAGCCAGAGAGCTTTTGGCTTTGCATGCAAACAAGAAGTTGATAAAAAAAAGGATAGAAAAAAAGGACAGGGAAACTTGTACTGCTGTAAGACTTGAGCAATGCTGCCTCTTCGCTCAGACCACATACAAGAAATGACTTATTGAAGACCGCAGCTCTTCTGCACAATGAACATGGTAAGCTCGTATTATAGCGTTGAGTTCTCAAATAAGCATCTGAAGCATGGGTTCTCCATCTGGGTTCCAATGAACCCGTTTGTACAGTCGGGGAAGATATGGAAAAGGCCAAGGGAGTGCGTGGCTTCGAAAGCACCAAAACTGAATAAGGTAAAGCAGACCATCAAAGTTATGCAGGCCGCAATATCAAAAGAATTACTGGTTTTATTGCCGTGCCCCATGTCTGGAATTCCGGCTAGTCAACTATGATACGCCTGCGTGTCCCCACGTGCCAGCCATATGTCACCACGGCCGACCATACGTGCCAATGCATCACTGTACCACGTGGTCATGGGCCTCGTTGTAACATGGACTGCCCGCAGAAATCTAATGTTCCTTGACAGTGTCAACTCTACACAGGGAGCTTTCCAGGTTTAGACAATCTAAGCGTGACCTAACCATGCACTGATGCATTACAATGAGCTACGTCCACAGTGTCCTGCAGACGTAGCTCACTGCGATGCATGTCAAACGCACTGCACAGATTTAGAGCATGACATTTATTTTACAGGTACAAACTACCACATCCTTGCTGATGGGGAGAACTTTCAAGGGATCCTGCTGTCCAATGAGTCTATGCGGTCCAACATGAACGCCTACCCGGAATTCCTAGGCATCGACGCCACGTACAAGCTCCTGGAAATTCGGACACCAGTGTAAGTGATGCACGTTGAGGACTCTAATCTAGATACGGAGACTGTATGTGTGGCCATTCTAGTCAACGAGTCTGCGCCCTGTCTCAGGTGCATGTTTGACAAGTTTAAGGAACTGCACCCGTCGTGGAGAAAGGTGAAGTGTGTCATGGCAGACAAAGACCTCCTGGAGCGTGACCTTCTCAAGGAGAGCTTCCCAAGCTCAAAGGTTCTGATCTGTGTGTTCCACGCTTTGAAGACTTTTCGACGTGAAATTGCCTGCAACAAGATGGATATCACTGCAGAGGAAAGGGACCAAGCCCTGGGACTGCTGCAGAAGATGGTGCTGTCACGATCAAGTGAAACATTCGAGGAGCTGCAACAAGAATTCGACACGAAGGTTTGCAAAGAGATCCGCTCCTACTACGACACAAACTGGCGACCCATCAAGGATGAGTTGTATACCGGACCAAAGTTTATGTCTGAAAACTTCAATAATAGCACAAACAACAGGATCGAAAGCCTAAATGGAAAGCTCAAGAGTGTGATAAAAAAAAAGCTCCCTTGAAGAGTTTGTGTGCTCGCTTTTCACGGTCCTCAGTGCCCTGAGTGACGAACGTGACCACAGGGCACTGATGAGCATATCCAAGAGGCCACCTTCCAGCCCCGAAG